CCTTTGCAGCCGCTTCTCCGTCGGCGCCACCTCGCACCTGATGTGTTTGCGGAGGAGGGTGCGGGGCCGCATGCGGAGAAACTGGCCGAGAAACTAGAGCTCACCTCTCCCCGCCCTGCAGAGAGGCAACAGATGACTTAGTTGTTGGAGAGGGACAGCTGGTTTCCTGGTTCCCCCCCCTCGTGACTCTATGGGGCTGTTGGCCTGGGCTGTGGAGAAGGGATAGGGCGGGGACCAACGGCAGGTCACATCGCGTAGGGGACAGGGGATGTGCGGGGTGGCTGAGCACAGCTCCTCTGTAAGAGGGGAGGGCAGCGGCCTCAGCTGTCGGGAGGGGCTGGCTGGCTGGAGTCTGCGGGAGTGGCCGCCCAGGGCCCTGGTGCTGGTACCTGGAGGGCTTCTGTGTCTTCCAGGGCCGTGCACCCCGACCCCCGGCCTCTTGTCTTTCCCTCCCCTCTGTGCCTTGTGGGCAAAGTCCCCAGACACCACCGTGGCCAGGGCTGGGCATGATCCCAGATACCTGATCGGGGCAGAAATGGGGGAAGCGAGTCAGTCAGCATCCTTGGCAGAGAGCCCGAGGTAACCCCCACGTGACAATCGGGGCACCCAAATTTCAGGGCTTGTGGCTTCCCCTCAAAGCTGGAGCAGTGCCCATGGGTGGGGTGGTGCCAACACCTCCTCCCCCTCATGCCTGAGGGCTTGTCCAGCATGGTGTAAGGCTGGAGCAGGAAGGTGGGCTCTACCCCGCACCCCTCACCCCTGTCCTGGGGCTCAGAGAGCCTGGCTGTCCTGCCCTGCCTCCCGGAGAAGCCTGCTCCCTTCACCCAGAGACTCTGAGTCATTGCTGGAGAGGAGGCTTTGGGGACCCAATCCAAGTGTGCAGTTCTCTGCCCTCCCCCGTGTACCCTCTGCTGTGCCACAGCCGCTGACTCACAGACCACCGTGCAGCACACGCTCTGGGCCTGCTCCTTCTTGCCTGGGCCTGGCCCGGCCGCCTATGCATTGCCCCGCATCGTCGGTGCCTGGCTCTGCCTGGCCCGGCAGGGTTAGGGGCACCGCTCTCCGAGTGTGCAGCCTCTGACCACATGCTTTGGCACTGAGCGGCCACGCAGGCCTGGGAGCCCGGACTCGGGGTGAGCCCTGGGCAGAGGCTCGACAGTCACCCACAGTGACCTATCACTGGCTGTCCGTGCCTCTTCTTAGTTGACCAGACTGGGCAGTTCCTCCCGGCAGGGTCAGTGTCCAGCCCATTTCTGGCCTCTGGACGGCAGGCTCAGGTCGTGATGACCACAGCCGCAGCCCTGGCCCACGCGCCTCTGGGACTGGGATGGCTCCACCCCCTGAAGAAGTCTGTACCAGAACCCGCAAGGCAGAGGTGTCGCTCCCATCTCGCAGGTCCCGAGACGTGAGGCCAGGACCCTCCCCCTGCGGAGGAAACGTTCTGTCCCTCCGGGATCCTGAGCTCCATCGTCGTGACACCCAGAGGACCCGGGTGAGTGGGGCGCACCGTGACGCGCTTGAGAATGAGCATCAGGGAGTGTGTGGGGACAGCGTGCATAGACCGCGCAGGCACCCAGCGGCGTCTCCGCCCTCGCTGTTTACTCCTCGCTTGGTCGCCTAGGCATTGGACGGCTTCACAGGTGCTCAGCCTCCCTCTGCGCTTGAGGGTTCCAGCCGGGCCTGGGTGGGGAGGGCAGCCTTCGGGGGAGGGGCTTCCCGGGAGGGGCTCTGGGTGCGTCTGGACCTCCCCACCTGGCTGCCGTCAGGGCAGCTGATCAAAAGGCACAAGCCGGCTGTTTCCTGCGAGGAGCTAGGGAGAGCAGCTCAGCCTGGCGTCCAGGCCCTGCTGGGCAGGGTGGACGCTGCCGCTGTGACCCCACTCCACACCCGGCTTCTGGGGAGCCTGCCCCGAAGGCCAAAGGGGCCTTGCCTTACAGGGAGAAGAGGCGGCAGGAGGGGCCACCATGGTGCAGCTGTAGCCTGGATGGTGCTTAGGCCAAGGGGCGGGGACGGGCGTGGGCAGGATGGCCCTCCCAGCTCTCAGGGAGCCGGCACCTGCCAGAGCACCTCGGCTACAGGAAGCAGGGGGCTGGGCCCAGGGTCAGCTGGCCAGGTGCAGGGCCCATGACCCCAGCGGTCAGAGGAGCTGGCTCTGGGGGCTCTGCGGAAGCCGCTGAGATGTGGGTGACAGGGCTGCAGGGCTCAGAGAGAAGACGCCAACACTCGGCGCCCTGCACCACCCCCAGAGCTCTCTTCCACCTCTCCTCTCCTGCTGTCCCCACCCATGGGGCCTCCTTCCTTGCCCCCCACAACCGGTGTGGGGGCAGTTACATTTTACGCCAGGGAACTGTTGCTGGGCTAGAGAAAGCTGTTCCTGCCGGCCACAAGGTCAGCCAGGAAGAGCGGAGCACACCGGCCCCCAGGGCCTCACTGTTCCTGGGACAGAGCTGCCGCTGCCTGGCCCTGCCCTCCTCATCATCGGACCCCTGGCCACAGAGACTTAGCACCCACCTAGGCAGTCCAGGACGAGGGCCGCCCTCTTGCCTGGCCAGGACACTGCGCAGCGCGAGCCACCTGTGGAGGCAGGAGCCGGCCAGGGTGACACCTGGGGGCCGCAGCTGACCGGGCTTGCCTGGGTCTCTCCCTCGGCAGGGCGGGAGCAGCTGGGCCCAGCCCGCGTGGTCAGGGTTGGGCTGGGGTGGCCGTAGCCAACAGGACCCACCGCCCACCCTGGGCCGCTCCACGCAGGACACGTGGGTGGGTTTGAGGACATGGCTGGCGCTGCTCACCTGGCCACCAAGATCGGCTGGCGGCCGATGTGGCTCCCACCAAGAGCACCCATCCTGCTTGGGGGTCCTCCCTGTCTAGACAGTGGGGGCACAGATGTGGGACAGGAAAGGAAGGAACGAGTGAGTAAGCAAGAAGGAAAAGCTGTGTGTGTCCCTGAACAAGGGGGCGTGGGACAAAGCCCTGCCGCTGTCCACCAGTGAGGAAGGCACTGGGAAGAAAGCTGTCTGGAGGGGGGGCGGTCTGCGCGGCTCGGCTGGTTCCCTGGGGGCGTGGTGGGTTCCGTCCCCTCTGGCCTCCTGGAGGGGACCTGAGTCCTGGTGGGGACTTGCTGCTGGCTTAGCCCCCCCAGTCTAGGGAGGGGTCTGGGGCACTCGGCCCGGACCGGCTGGGAGACACCGGGCGCGGTTGGGCCACGCGTTCTCAGCCGTGGCAGGCTCAGAAACCGGCTGCGTTTGCTTGTGGGGTCCTGGGAGTGGGCGTCCCTCCCAGCTGTGGACGGTGGCAGCTTTCGTTGTCTGTTCCCTTCATCATCGTCTTTCAGCAACTCCAAAAACCAGTTTCCAAAGAGACTGAGCAGTTAGGACGCGCTGCCAGCTCGCGATGCCACCGCTAGTGACCTCCCTGCTGGCGAGGGTCGGGTCCCGCTGGCGTGGATGGTGGACACAGGGGTCAAGGACACGGGCTGGGACGGCTGGTGGTGCCACCTGACCCGGCAGGGCACCCAGAGGAGGTGCAGGGTCCCCACACCTCTGCGAAGGGCTGAGGCCCCTCGGGCAGCAGCCTGAGGGAGCAAGACGCGGCCACAGGGTGCGTCTGGTGGAGAGGACAGGCATCCCCAGAGTGACCTGCGGCCCTGGCAGAGCAGGTGTGCAGGGACCCGGGATCTCTCTGCAGATGGTAATCCAGGTCCCTGCGGAAAGGAGCAGGCCTGGGTGGCTCTGCAGAGCCTTGGGGACAAGAGGAGCTGCCCCTGGGCCTTTGCTGCGTGGAACCTGCCTCTGGTTTGCTCCGGCGCGCGTCCTCCGGGTGGTGACGCTGGGGGAAACTCACTGGCCTCTCACCCCGGCGCCATGCAGGGAGCTCACTCTCATCGCCTTGCGGGACTGCCCTGCGCCGGGGTCCTTGAGACGCTGCTGTCCGCTTTGCCTGGACACCCTGTAGGACTCTGGGGGGTCCCCGCCCAGCAGAGCTCGGGGGAGCCTGAGCCTGGCGCTGCCCCTTGGCAGGCGGGCGGGTGGACGAGGCCCCAGGCTGAGCGCGGGGACAGGAAACGTGGGCACTCTTGTTCTCAAGGGTGGTCCTACCTGCCCCCACCTCGTCCCTCCGGAGCCCCTGCGTGGGGCAGCCCGCTGGAGGCAGAGCTCCTTGGCAGCCTGCTCTGCCGCGTGCCTTTGATCGCAGGATGTCTGGGCAAGCCTCGCCCAGGTCAGAGGAGAGCTGTGCAGAGTGGGGCTCGGCCACCCACACAGTGGCAGGGCGCACCTCTGGCCCCTCGGAGAGCTGGCCTCTGTCTCTCTGGCTGGAGCACCTGTCGGCAAGAGATGACCCCGAATACCTGGCTCTGGGTGGGGCTGTGCTTGGCGTCCCCGTGGCTGCGTTCCTGCTCCTCCCGCCTGACTCGCGGCCTGGTCTCCTTGAG